TTTTCCCTTTCTTTCTGCAGGGGGAAGTGGGAGCAGCTTCTTCAGTAAAATTTCCATATACATTCTGGCGTAATGGAAGAGAAACTGTTGAGCAACATGTTCAGCTCCCAACTTCACTGCAAACTGCTGGGGGATCCTTTGAATAGTGTGGATTAACTGAAAATAAGAAGCAATTATTGATTGGAGAAATGCTGCAGTAGGGTACTATGCTTTACAAATGCACCCCAGGATTATACTTCTTGTTTCCAGCACATTGCCAAATCGTATTAAGGGATTGTTTCTGGGCACCTTCTCTTATCATAACATCAGTTTTATGTGTTAAAACGTTTTGTGTGAAATGTTTAAATATGGCTGAAAGCACACCAACACATGGAATATGTTTAATAATTGTGAACCCCAAACCACTGTAGTAACATGCTGTTCTACATTTAATTTAGGTATTCTGTAACTCTAGGTATTCATGTATTGTCTGGAACTTAAAAGAATGATATAAATATGCAGTTATTGTGCATAACTGTAGTGTTTACAAAATGCCTTGCTTATGTCTTAATAAACTGAAACATCTACTATATAATAACAAACAGGTTTCCATATAATTTTCATAATCAAACTGGATTTTATTTAGCTGTCAAATACAGTACCTAAAAATATTTAGTACTTTTTGTTTATTGTGGATGGATAATTAATTTTAATTTTAGCTTTTGCTTCCTGATCAGATATTTATAATGGAAATATCACTTAAAATATCACATCTTTTTCATTTGTGTCAAACCATCCTTATGGATCTCAACTAATTTATATTATCATGTTCAACAAGGCAAAACATAGATAAAACCAACTTACATATAAAAAATGTGTTGTAAAAAGTGATCTTGTCCCTTATTCCCCATTTGAATGTGTTCATTATATAAAAAATAAGCATCAAAAGAAAGTTGCTTTATGCATGTATGTTTTAGGAAAATTTAGTATAAAAATTGGATATTGATAAAATATTTTGTGCGTAGTTTTTATCAGTTGAGAATCCATGACTGACCCTGATACACCAAATGGTTTTGACTTGTACTAAATCAAGCATTAAATCAGTTCTTTAGTGAGAGAGTTGATTGCACACAGATGATGAGGTGATCAAAAATGTTTTGGAAAAAAAAGCAAAAACGCCACATCAATCAAAAGCTAATGAAACAAAAAGTAATACAATCAAAATTGAAGGTAGAACCCATTTAGTACGTTTATCGTTGATGGAGATTAATGTCCATGTTACCAATCAGCCTGTTTCTGTAAGGATCGGTGGTGGTGGAGGGGAGACCCCATTACCTGTCAAGCGCTTTGAGTGGAGTGTCCAGAAAAAGTGCTATATAAGTGTAAGCAATTATTATTATTGTATTGACACATAATTATTGAAGGATTATTGTATTGACATTTCTGCTGCTCTTTGTTTCTCTCGCAGTATCTGCCAGTTCTTTGCGTAAACCAGATTTCAATTTCTGACCTCTCGTGTTCTTGCTTTCTGTCTCAAGTCTACTGCATGTGGTTTGGGTTGACCTTGTTAGACCCTCACAGGAGTTTGTATACTGCAGTCTAGATCACTTTAATGTGCTCTTTATTCCTTTATAGGTTCTGTTCTTGTAACTGGACTGTAAGTTAGAGGATACTTTTAATTCTTGAAATTATTCTAGATGGAACTGACACTTTCCAAATAAACAGAACCTGTGTGGTGTCTTGACTTTAACTGGGCACGGTAAAATCAAAGCAATACATGATTACAGATTTAGCCATTCTTGATTTGAAAGAAAATAATTCTTTGGTTTGTGTTGCATCCGTAAGCAAAGTAGAAAGCAGGTACCCAGACTATCTTACCAGAGAGAACTCTGACATATTCATTTTGTCAGTGACTCACTCCTCAGTCACAAGGTTTGATTAGATTATTCAATACCATTAACTGTGCCGTTCATTGGAGTAAACTTGTAGTTGATAACTCACAGTTAAACTTGTGCATTTCAATGAATTTGTGGATTGTTCTTATCTGGTGGCTTCGGAATTATACAGTAGGTGGCTCACAACATTTATAAGCATAGATATTGAGAGTTCTGCTCCTGCTTGATTTCCATATATAAAAAATGATCCTGCACGATAAACTTTTTATCAGGCCTTCTTTATAGCAGATGACAGCAGCTTCCATCAGGTGATGATTTGTGGTCGCAATCCTGAAGTGTAGTAAAGTAAAAATATATATATAATTTAGTTCCATTCATTCATGTATCGAAGAACTTTGTCCCACCGTTCCACCCCGATTCTAACAGTGCCGGTTCGAGCTCTCTCTGCCACGTTTCACTGATGACGTAATCTCTTTTGACAGTGAGCAGAGTTACACTGGAGATGGCGAGCTGTGGTTGAAAAGTAGGGGTAATGAGTTGCGCATGCTGCGATGGCGCAGGGTAACTAGGGTACTGTAGTCGGCTACAAGGTGACGTTATACCACGAACGCCAAAGGCGCTTGATTATTGGACTACAACTCCCGTGAAAGCACGGGTCGCAGATCGCTTACGCTAGTGTAAAGCCCTCTGTTTGAGGAGTTGCTATTTCCTGGTTAGACTGGCAGCCATTTTGGGTTTGAAACAACTAGGCTTTGGGTTTTTGGAGGAGTAGTTACTTTTAATTTGACAAAACAGTTCCAGTCTCAACTTCTTCACGGCACCGGGGAGCAGAGTTTTATTAAAAGAGTGGGTTGAAAGTGACATGTCAACAATGAATCCCGAATAGTAAGTATAACGTGCCGGTGATGACTGTGTCTTTTGATCCACTGATGTGTTGTGTGTGTGTTCGGCTGTTGAAGAAGTTGATTGTTGAAAGAAACAAAAGAAGGTGTACGCAGACAGCTGTATTTAAGATGATGTAATCGCTGCACCCCTAAATTACCAAGAATTATGTGTTTCACGTGTGTAAAACCATTGATAAGACCATCAAATAGCGTTTCTGGAGCCCGTTTTCGTGAATTTACTGAGAACAAGCGAAGATCCGTGGTACCGTGATGACAATTTGAATGCTAATTCACATTTTACGTAAATGTGGGCTTAAGAGTGTACCTATCCAAAGTGGACAGATGACTGGACTATAGAGAGGAATAAACTACTTCACGGGCCTGTGTTTAAAGCCGAGAGCCTCAGATCCTAAGAACCTTATGTAAACATGATTTGTTATTTTATTACTATTAGGGATTGTATGCACATCTGACTAAGTAGAATATAGATGTGTGTGCAATTAATATTACACGACAAAAACCGTATCTGCGAAGAATAGTCCAATCTAAGGAATTTGACGTTTGCTAAAATGCTGCTCCTTGTCATTACATAAGACTGGTGCCTATAGCCTATAGGAAAGCAGCTAGAAAGGTGCCAATAGCGGGTAAATACGGTTCTGTACACATCTGTAACGGCCACAGCAGGAGGAGGGTTCAAAAATCAAGCTTTCGGTTTTGCCGAGACGTACAAAAATCCCCTCAACGCCTGTCTGGCCGAAAGAAAAAGACAGTGTGTTTTTTTTGCTGCTATCCGGCGAACTATTGCTACGCGAGCACTTGTTACTTTCACCGTTTAATCCCTGGCTCATGCATGATCAGACCTCAGTTTGTGAAGGTTAACGCCAAGTAAAAACGACCTCCGATGCCCAGGCGGTGATAACCTTTTGAGTCGACCTGGAGCTGGATGTGGTGGTTTAACCAGACCAGGGGGGGACTGTGGTGTTCATTTAACACATTTCCGATCTCGTCAGTAAAAATCCGACGATCTTCGACCTGCTCTTCAGGAGACACCCATCCTTTCAGAGCGAGTCATGTGCCGGTCACATGGATCTTGCAAAATACATTGCACAGGGATCTTAAGCAATACGTGTTCCAGCCTTTCCCGTTGGTAGAGCTTTTGGCATCGCCAGGGTTTCAGTTACAGAGCAGTAATTGTTGAAATGGAGAGGGGATATTACATTGACAAGGCTGCACCGCTAAGTCGGTCTTCATTTTTTTGTTGTTGTTGTGCTTAAAAAAGGGACGACTAACAGTGGAAGGACAGCAGCCCTCTTTTAACTTCCTGTTTCAGTCGCTGGAATAAATTTCAGGAAGAGTAGATGCGCCTCTTAATTGTATCAATTCAAATGAGGCGCTAGGGAACTGTTAGGTAAATGGTGTGCGGTTTCTCGTCACTTACACTATTGTTTCATTTCCTTTGTAAAAGTAACCCTGGATTTCTGTTGACTTTTTTTGCTTGCAGCAATAAAAAAAAACTAAAGATCATAGATGAATCGTGGGTGTAAGAGGTTAAACGCTTTTAACGTTATGCAGTGATAAAGCTGTATATTCTCACTGGCCGATTGGCTTTTTTTAAACTTGGTGAGAATCCTGCATTATGGTGTCTGAGATGCAGGATTCGTGCCTATCAAACTGCACCTCAAGACAGGGTCGGATGTATTCAGTGCATGCCTGTGTATGTGACATGTTTTCTAAAGTTCAGTAATTGTATGTTTGTATGTGGTAGAACCGTGATTGATGTCGTAAAAAGGGCTGTTTATCACTTGCCTCTGAATATTAGTTCTAGTATTAACAGGATTTTGATGTACCTTTTTACCAAAACTGGTAATTGAGAATTGTCCTGGCTAGAGAATTCATGTTAAAAGATATAACCACTCACTGCAAAGCTGTTGGAAAACTATTAGTGAAAACATTTTGGATTGTGTGTTTGAATATTGGTTGTCCACAGAATAAGAATGTGTGTCGGCGCCTGTTCTTGTCATTTTTTTTCAGGACAATCTCGGTTAATTAAGAGGTGCTTATTCTATATTTTCTTACAGAGGTCTCTGTGTGTAAACTACTATATTGTCTTTTTTAAGTTCTTCCTGGTATTAACCAAAAGTACCCTTCTGTGTGAAAGATGAATGTGTAACATGTAAACTGATCACAAGCTAATCATTTTCTTTGTTTCTATTAAAGCACAATATTGCCATTCCAGTACACAGTAGAGCAGCACCCCAAAAAGCCATTTTAAAGAGATAAAAAGGGAATTCAGACACTCATCCTGGTGCTTTGTTCTTACAAATTTAATATTATGCCCTCTTTCCCAAATAGTAGCCCTGCCTTTTCTGTCCACTGGTGTTTGCTGTCCTATATCGTCATATTATGGACAGTTTCCCTGTAGTCAACTATGAGGATGGAAATACTAAACCTTTCTTTCTTGCAGTAGCCTGTATTAAATTCCCTTGTTGTAGCATATGTGTTGTCACATCTTTAATGAAGTTAAACAGTTAATAAAGCATGATCATTTCTCCGGAAGCACAATTAGTATGTGCTCCTTAGTCTTCTGACAGTAAGGTGTGCTATCAGACTACAAGCCTGTCCCTGTGGCCTGTGTTAAGCACTCACCCCCTGCACACTACTATCTTGTACACTGTTCCTATTGAAATGACAGTATGACTGAGCCCTGGCATTTCAAGCAGAGTTAAGGCTCAGGCTCTGCACCTGTGAGGTCCAGAATTTGTCAGTTTGGAAATTTTGACACATGGCCCATTTACCTTAGACAACGCAATAAGATCTTATTTCAGTTTGGAGACTATGAAAAAGCTTCAGAGAGAAACCATCACTGTGTGCTTAAGAGCAGGATGTTTGTAATATTCCTCAGAGTTGGGGAGTCACCTTGTAGAGATACGATAACTATGTAGCATGCATTGGTGAGCCGCTCCAATAATGAGAACATGACGGTTTGGAATTGCAAGGAAGAGTAGTTGTGCAAGCAGGTATGTGTTACCCCCACAGACAAAGCCTTTCATTCTGTGTACGAGTCCACCAAATAAGGACCTCATTATAATGAGTGAATTGCACAAACCAAAAAATTCAGTAGTTTTCTTAGGTTGAAAAGGTAAGGATTTTGTGGTAATTGTTTCCTGTGTGTATTTTCATATTGGCCTTTGTCCTGTAAAAATAATTTTGTAGCCCTTCCATAGAACGGACATTTAGGTGGTCCCCAACACTCTTCTTTCTGTTTATTAACATAGTGAAGTCAGGATATAAGCTGAAATAATTAGTAGGAGTTTTTGTGTTTTTCTCTTACTGTTTGCCACAGGGAGCAGTTAATTCTTGTTTCCTTTCAAATGTATTATAATAATTAGATACCATATCAACAGGTTAAATATAGTTAGGTCTGTTTTTTAAACAGTGGCCTTGAAAACAATTTTGTGTAAATGTGTTCAATGAATTACCCCAAAAGATACCTCTAAAATATTTTTTCTACCTCTTCCTCACTTGCAATAAATTCCATTATTTCTCTGCTTGTAACGGAATTGTATTGATTGGCACTTGTATTCAGTCTGCTGCTTTTCAACTCCTCTCCAAGGTTGGATTCCTATGCATTCAAGGTGGAAAGAGTATTTAAGGAGACAGTATGCTGATCACCTCAGATGACCTCTGCTGGCGCAGGGAAAGAAATGGCTTGGAGATTAAGCTAGGTGCTCATCAGAGACTGACTGTGTCTAATAGTATTTTTCAATACTATATCGCTCTCCATTTAGCAGAGTCTTTTTTATTTAATGCTTAATTCCCAACAGTTTTACAGGTTTGTTTGTCAGCTCTTTTTGCTTCTGTGCTGTGTTCTCTAAAGGTGCACACATTTTCAACTATTTAGTCTTTACTTCATGAATAGTGACTGCCCCTTTTCCTGAGAGATAAACATCATCATTGTTGTTGTTTAATTCGAGTGCACAGCCCAGCTCGCCCAGCCCTGGTAGTGCCCTTGTAAGAAGACATATCCTGCAGCTTATTGAAGAAATGAGCGGCTATCCAGGAGGTTCAGAGCTGACCGCACCACAAGCTGCCTGCTTCTGAGAAGCTGCGGGAGTCTCCGCTTTGCCGGAAACCAGGATAACATGGGCCGCCTATTCCCAGGCCAGCTCTCGCTGGCGCTCGGCCACGTGTGTGCTTCCCCTAGTGGAATCCCAGATGCAGTGCTAGTGACGCGACTCGGGTTCGAACCCGCAAAGTTTGGATCATGGAGTTTAGCCTGTGCCTTGGGCACGACACTGCAGTTCCCCAGCTTCAGAGGAAAATGTTCACAGGTGTCTCCATATTCATTGTCTTTGAGCTTAATGGGATTGACCCATCGCCGTGCCAGTGTGCGTAATCTTTATCATGAACACGTGTTGAAAGAATGTGCTGTACATCCACATAAGACAAAATATATACTCCTGTCTTCCTCGGTTTTCTTAGTGTTTAGATAGAGCCCCCATTTAGTCTTAAGCTCCTTGAGTTGAAAACTAGTTACCCAAAATACATGTCCCAAGTGGGCGTATAAAGATGGTCATCATTTAACAATGGGCGCCGTGGAGAGCTTGCAAGGATCTGCTGGGTTTGCTGCTTCTGCAGAGGTGGGGTGGAGGTCGTTTCCTCTTCAGATAAAAAAGATGTTGTGAACCCTTGAACCCAGTGGAGGTAATTGCCTCTTCAGATTTCAGCGAAGACAGGCATGCCGACTTGTACCAAAGCAACTGTCGACTTGTTTTTCGTGGGTAAAAGCGAAAGAAACGGTTTTTAAAGATTTTAATATCTGTTCTGGCTTTCTCTTATTTTCTGAAGCACATTCTGTATTCCAATATGTTGGTGTCGCAGAAACCGCACTCCTTTTAAAAACATTTTGGAATTATAATTATTATATTAAAATAAATATATTTTTACAAATTATTATAATTATTCTAAGGGAAAGTTGAACACTGTTTTTAACAGTTATAGTGTGAATAATAATACATTAAATGTATAATAATGACTGCAATTTTGGTTGCACCGGTAGTGGAGTATAGGCAGCAACAAAATGTTTTTTTTCATGTTACAGTGCTTAACAATAAGGGAAAAATACAACGCACACTGTCTAATTTCCTTCAAAGACTTCTTGCAAATATCACATTCAGAGCAATGTCCTTTAAAGGCTACTTCAGTGTGGTGGTCATAAACCATTGCTTTCCAGCAATTGTGGAAACATTTTTGACCCAGATTGCTGCCTAATTAGAAGTAATTCCACATAGATTTGTGTCTGGGGATTTATTTGCAGCGCAAATGTGAGAGAACGGACTAAGAACTCAGCAAAAACTCACTGTCAGATGTTTTATTCTGCTAATTAAATAGTCTTATTACAATTGCGTGCACTAATAAGAAAGGTACTGTTATTTATGTGCAGGATGGTTGGCACGCTTTTTATTATAGATTGTGTATTAAACACCAAGGGAAAACTACTTTCAGATTTGCATACTATAGCCTAATTATTTATGGCATATTCAAAAAGTACCACAAAAACATGTTTTTCATCATTTACATTTAGTACATTTAATATCTTAGAATCCTATGTGAAATGCAAGTCTTTTTTACACAACACAAAATATTTATTTTGAACATATGAAGGTCTGGGTGTATCTCTCCTTGGCGTGGCAGTAAATGGCTACTTCATAGGGAATTGTGGGAGTGAGCATACAATGGAATTGTATAAGCTTGGTCATATAGACGATCCTTATTCCAAACCAGGTATGTGATGCAGTGATGAAATTCTTCATATTGTATAAGTTGAAAATGAAAATGGGGGGTCTTGAGAATTGAAGGATGACAAAAAACTCATTCCTCAAAGATGTGAATTTCTGCTTTGATGTCTGCCTTTTTTTCTCTGATGTGTTTGGGGTTTTTTTGTATGGCAGAATTCAGTATCCCTCTACAGTTATTCCCACTGAGGTACTATTTTTGGGATCAGTTTGGTAGGTTCAACAGACATATTAATTAGGGTGTTCTGAACCTGAATGTGTGAACAGCAGGTTTTTTACAGTTTATAAATGGACTGGTTTCTTCTAGTGAATAAACTTATTAAAACAAGTGCCTTTAATGCATATTAACTGCAAGTTAGGTGGAAATTTCCACCCGGTATTGTCCGTAACCTAGGACATTTGTAGTCTCAATTCACTTTTCTTAAGCAAAATCAAGATATTTTTGGAACCACAGTAGGTTTGCAGTCTGAAATAGGAAGAGCAGCACTGTTAAACCCATTCAGTGATGTGGCAAATCCTAGACAGCCAGGAAGCGCTAGGACCAGAAATTTCCTTCTGATAACAGCTCACGGAATCAAGTCTCTTCAGATGAAGCAGAATGTTTTTGTTAAACAATGACTGTAGCTGGATTTGGTTTAGGCTGAAACCCTCGAATTGTTTAACTAAGGTGTATCGATCTCATGCAGGTCGGACAGTCAACAACCGTTTGGGCCCTGTGCCATATTTTCAGGCTTTTGGGATATCAAAGAAAACCTTTCCTTAATGTATTCCTAGATTTAAGAAACCACCAACATAAGTTGTGCTTTTTTATTTTTTCTTACACTGTACTGAACTTTCATGATTATTCTAAAAATAAAAGGATATATGAAAAGTGTATAGTGCTATATTAATGTGGCAAGCCTGTGCAGAGACACAAATGTTTGGTGTGGGTTATGGATGCAAGTGCAATATAGTCGCAGAAAGCTGTGATGATCAGAAGCACTTCTGCTGCATTGACATACCTCTAAAGTCCCAGAAGATTAGAGAAAACCATTTCCACTTCCTAAAGCTGCAGAAGATATGTAAACATGCTGATCAGTTTAGACATCAACTTAAAAACTGTTTAGACAGATACCTCTTTGATGTTTCAGGCTGTAGGTGCTTACTTATTTCTAGTTTCTGCAGTCTGGGTTGTGGCGAGATCGTAGCTAGTTGATTTCGGCGCTTATTCTAAATGCCGACTGCGGTGCCTGTTATTCACTTTTTGTTTGAGATCAGCGCACGTTTTTCTAGAATCCAGTGAGATTCAGTGGTGCTCTTCAACGTTATTGTATCGGCATGTTACTCATGGCAGCGTCCCATCTTTCATGCCAGGTTGAAGGTCCTGGTGTCTTTTTGTTGCGGCTGTGGAGAGTAGTTCACACTCTGTGTGGTATCGGTGAAGGCCGGAATTTCCTGCACTGACAGCAGCAGTGTCAGCAGGAGCTGAGAAGGCACTCTTGAACTAATTTGTAGACCCCCCTGTTCCTGCAGTGTGCTGTATTAAAGTGTTTTTCCAGTAGGCCCTGTGGTGCCTTAACTGTTTCATAGGAAAGGGTCTATGTAAGATAGCATGTGAGAACTGTATCAGTTTTAGGGTCAGTCACTATAAATTTTTATTTTTTAGTTGACCGAGTGACTTCTCAAAAGAAAGATTTGATTGTTATACATTTCAGGACAAAATATACTATAGATATGTTAAACTGCAAATTGCTCTACTGTGATGGAACTATTCTGAAAGAGGGTGTTGTCCTGATTTTATACTTTGTGATTTCATGTGCATTTCTTTGTGTTTTCCAGTGACTATTTATTCAAGCTGCTTCTGATTGGCGACTCTGGTGTGGGAAAGTCTTGCCTACTCCTTCGGTTTGCAGTAAGTTCTCTACCCTTGACCTCTGCTTATGACCGGCCCTGTTTCTGGACTGAATGTACACACAGATAATGAAACTTTGGACTATAGTCAGAATTGAATTACAGCTGTTCATCAGTCAGCCCCAAGTCTTACAGGCTAAGAAATCTTTTTAATTATGCCTTTTTATGGTAAATAAGTTACTAGCTTTGAAATCATGGTGGCCTCTTCATTTTTTGAGTATACTGTACTTCCTGATCATTTACAAAGTTCTGTAGCCATTTGGAGTATATCTGTCATTTTGTTAGGTGGTGAATATATTTCAGCTGTCAGTGGACTAATTCTGTATCCTTATTTTTTCTCTCCATACAGGATGACACATACACAGAAAGTTACATTAGCACTATTGGTGTGGACTTTAAAATAAGAACTATAGAATTAGATGGAAAAACGATCAAACTTCAGATTGTAAGTATTTCCTTTTCCAATCATGATTATAGCATATTTCACCAACGATAAAATCTTGAACTAGATGAGCATCTAGTTTTTTAATTTCTTTTTAATTTCAGTTTATTCAGTTTACTCATCTTCTTGAGAGTATTTTATTCTTGTATTTTTATTTTTACCTGTAGTACATTCAGTGTAATTCTTGTTAACCAAGTATCTCACTGTTTAATTTAAAATAGATGTTTATTAGAGAAACAATGCTACATAAATGGTGCAAATTCTAGTCTTGGAAAGACAGAAATGAAAGAATACAGCACTGTATAGTAATTTTCTTAGTCTTTTTCCTGCATAGGACTCACTGGATTTTTCCTGTGAAGAGAAGTGCTTAATCAAAATAATCAGACCCTGATTAAAATTTAAAAATATATTTTTTTAATCCGTCTCTGCGCCAATGCAATAAAAGTACAGGGTTCTAAAGCAAAAGAGGGCAGTCAGCTGTAATGTACGTCTCTAAATTGCTCAATTTTATTTGATAATACCATCCCTAGAGCTAAAGTTACTTTTGCTTGAAATGCCTTTGCTGTGGAAACACTCGTTGTGCAAGGGTTGTGTGTCTTGGAGTGCATTTTTACATTTTAAGTTCTCCTCTTTCCAGTGGGACACAGCAGGACAAGAGAGGTTTCGAACGATCACGTCGAGTTACTACAGAGGAGCACATGGCATTATAGTAGTTTATGATGTTACAGACCAAGTAAGTTACATTTTTCCCCATCATGTCCTAAAACAGAGAATTTCTAAAATAGAATAGCATGGTAAGTCAATCAACTGAAGTAAAAAAAAAATGTTTTAAGTGTTTGCTGAACTATTGTATTTCCCCCCAGGAGTCTTTCAACAATGTCAAACAGTGGCTACAGGAGATAGACCGCTACGCCAGTGAAAATGTTAACAAGCTATTGGTAGGGAACAAGTGTGACCTCACTACAAAGAAGGTTGTGGATTACACAACAGCAAAGGTACAGTTTGGAATAGGATTTGTTGGCAGAAAATATTGTAAAGTAAATGTGTTAAAATTGTGTGAATTTGTCATTTGTGCTGTAGTGGCTTTATGTGGAGCTATATTGCTCTGAAAATTTTAAATTATTCTGGTGCTTTGTGCACTTAGTTTTTTTTTGGTTTGAATTTGTTTGTCCCTAGAGACAGCCTGACATAGGAACCGTCTAAATCGGCAGTAGAGCAGCATTTACCCTTGTGTGGATCCGTCGGTAAAGAACGTCTTTCTGGTTTGGGTTTCAGGAATTTGCGGATTCCCTGGGAATTCCCTTTTTGGAAACCAGCGCGAAGAACGCCACGAACGTAGAACAGGCCTTCATGACGATGGCGGCGGAGATTAAAAAGAGAATGGGCCCGGGGGCCACGGCTGGCGGCTCAGAGAAATCCAACGTCAAAATCCAGAGCACTCCGGTGAAGCCATCCTCTGGAGGGTGCTGCTAAGGGCCTCCCAGCTCCCTCCCCAGGTCTCCCATTTAATAAGCCCCCCGAGTAAAAGAGAAAAACAAAAGTTGCCTGAATTGTACTGTATGTAGCCGCACTACCACAGATTCTCCAAACAAGGTCAGAAATGCAACGGTCAGCCCCTTGGCTGCTTTTATCCCCCCAGTCCAAGACCGCTAACTTCATTTTCAGAACTGTTTTAAACTTTGTTTTGTGTGCAGGTTTCCAAATAATTGTGTGTTAATCCCATTGCATTCCTGCTGCAGGACGGTTCTGTGGTTGGGTTCGGTCATGTTTTCTTCTTTGTTTTGTTTGGGTTTTTTTTTGTTTGTTTCTGACATTTATTTCGGCAGGTGTAGACATCCATTTAGGTCCTACTCTGAAGATGAAGTTCGGCAATTGTGTAAAAACGAACAGCACAACAGTGTTTCACGGTCTATGGCATTGATAAAGTCTAGTGAAATATGTTATATATGTAAGATCTGATTTGCTAGTCCTGTAGAGAGATAAATGGAATAAATTACATTATCTGACTAGTAGTTTAACTTCATAATCTCTGCATATAATTTGTGGCTGCAGACTATTGTAATTTGTTGCACAATATTGTAACATTAAACAACTGAAGAAATGTTTAATAAATATTGTACTTATTGGAATTCCTACCAAACTGTATGATAAACTGTCTGCAATTCTTAGTGGCATATGTAGAATACATTTTGTGTGTTTTATTTATTCTACATTTATATGGCAAATATATTGTACCAGTAATTTAGGTTGTGTTTGCAATGGGCGATTACCTGTGGACACCTTATTGCAAGTGGCAATAGCAGAATTGCTTATATGAAACACTATGTCCTTTTTCATAATAAAGGCAACTTAATTCAGTTTTAAATGAGCTGGAAAACACTTCATAGCTACGTTTAAGAGCACTGTTGTAACGCCTGAGTATTGCATGTAGTTGTCCTGGGTCAGAATGCTTTCTACTCTCCCTTCGTTTAAGCAGCTCACAACGTCTTAGCAATGTTTCTATAGCTGTATTTAGATTCTTTACATTTACGTTGTTGGATGACTGACAGTGAATGTGTGCTACTCCCTTTTCCTGTCTGTCATTTTTCACAGCTCAGGTGTTTGAAATTACACGTCCCTTGAGAAAATAAGTAATCCAGTGCCCTTATTAGAACTTCAGAAGGTGCCGTTTTCAATTAATGAAAATTAAACAATGTAAATGACACTTAAGTAGTCTTATTAAAAGAGTTACCCTTTAAAGAATACCTGTCTGTAAAATCCCTGAAAAAGGATAAAAAAAAGGTATAATTTGATTTGGCCACACCAAGGTTGTGTAACTTCAAATTACTCTGGACAGAGAAAAAATCCTGCAAAAATATTCTCAATCTTACATTTCTTGTTTCAGTTTATTATGAGTTTTTATTTTTAGGGGTTGGGAGGGAGTGGTGGGATAGGTGATAACTTGTACATGCATTTAATCTTGAAAATCGTGCACGAACTAAGCTAAAATAATGGGGTAGTTTCTGTATCTCAAAGTCATTTTATTTTCCAAAGTTAGTGTACATTTAAACTTTCTATTGACATGTAAGACCATTTATTTGAAGTTGCACAGACTCGCCTTACTTAAGCATTTCCCATGGGAAATAAGAGTTTGTGTTTCATAAGGTCTAGTTTGTAGTGATTGGTACAGTTTACATAATTGGTTGAAACTTTAAAATTACATTATTTTCCATCTGTCACTTTGATTCAGAAATCTATGACCTTAAGTGTGCAACAACACCAAGTAAAAGGCAAAGAACTCTTATGTCACAACTGTCAAGAGTCACTTAACAATGTGGCTCTTGTATACTTACAAATTGCAGAATATTAAAGTAAATGCATTCATTTGACTTCACTTTATTTCACTAGATTTCAGAGTTAGAACTTGTTACAATATTTGTGGATTTAATAATTTAGGTAAACTTATCTACCAAGTTTTGTGTAAGTATAAACATGTAATGGACAACAATCTTAGTAACAGTAGTTCAAATTCTCTTGATTTTAATGGTCTTCATAGTCAATGGAAGGCACAGTACTGCTGAAGCCTGTACATTTTTACTGATTGACAGACAGTAATTGAAAGCTTGTTAAAGTTGTGATTTCTTTACATCAGAGACTTGCAGAATTGCTGCAGTCCTGTGGACTCTAGGTTGTTGCTTAATAAATTGCTTACAGTGAGCAGGGAATTTGTTCTGGCATATTTAATAATTTACAAGTTACTTTTTTATTTTTTTTTATAATAAACCATGGGATTTTGTTTATAAGAAAATACACAAGTTATACCTGAAAAGGTGGTCCAGTCATTGTGCACAATATAGTTCATCTGCCAGTTGAATCCACACCTGCATGTAAGTGCAGATGTCCTCCAGTTGAACACATGCACATTGGTAGGATGCTGTTCTGTATGTAATTACCAGTTTCCTTTGACTGGATGCTATTCTTAGACTTAAGGCAACAATGAAAATAAATTTTTGCTCAATTAAAACCTGGCAGATTCATATGACTGAATGCATTTCATTTTGTGGGAAATAAAATACTGCATATCTAATATAAAGTAATAAAGTGTTTTTGTTGTTTGAAAAAAGCATGGGAATGCTTCTCTATCTACTGTAATTTGATCAACTCATTTCTTACATAAGCACCACTGAAAGAAAGGCATAAACCGGGCCTGTCCTGGGCTGTAGACAACAAAAGACTTAACAACTCCCAGCAACAAAAAGGGATACAGGATAGCACCTCGTCTTTAATACAGACATTCATTTCACAAACAAACACTCCCAAGCACATAAAGGTTACAAATGAGAACAAGCCATTTCGACTGTGTGGTCCATTTTGTCTTTGATGAGCACCTGCCTTTGTAAAGTCATCGAGATGAATGACCACTAATCTACATTTCTCGATGCGAAACAAAATCATGGATTGTGGCCAAAGAAAATGTTTGTATTTTTTCCCCTGATTTAGAAGATCAGCTGCACATTAACAACTTGCTGCCTTTGTTTCAGCTAATAGCTCGACCCAAATTATGAAATTATCCAAAATCTTGCAGTTAAAAAGTATCACTCTTAAGACTAGATTCAGAGGAAAGGGGGTTAATTTAAGAGAAACAGAAGATACAGTTATGTTAAGATAAGTTTATAAAGGGTTAGCTGTGCTGTCTAAGCTAATCCCAGCTTTATAAACTGTTAAGAAATTAAAAACATTCAAAGGGATACACAAATTTTAACAAACCACAAGACTTGGAGCATATGACAGATTTAAAATTATAAAACAAAAATTCAAAATAACATGTTTAATTCAAAAAGTGATTTAAAGAGAAAAAGGTATTCATTTGACATTTCAAGAGCAAACGTATGCCAGAAATGCCCTAAGGGAAACTTGGGATGACAAAACCAAGGATCAAGCTACAAGGCGTGATGCATTTCTGAATCCTGTTTGACACATCACAACACTTCTATCTGTTTCATAAAACGTTCCCCACCTTTTTGCTCTCTATGATTTATTTTTAATTTCAGTGACCCAGAAGCCTGATATATTCTGCAACCAATATTTAATCAATGTTCACTTTTCATTAAATGCGATCCTCTTTACAGCAAGGTCTTTCAATAAGCAGTAGGCTCAGTCAGCTCTCTGTTTAAGCAGAGTCAGAGTCACATGGCCAACATGTGGTAAAGAAGGAAGTCGAGTCAACAGATGCTGACAACTGCAATGACGCAAAGTTCCTCTCAGTAGCGCACCATGTCCAGTCTACACAGCGCCCAGAGTGAGAGTAGCAGGATGTGAGAAAACTTCTGACCTGACCATTTCAATATGAATGAAAATAGTAAAGCAAAAAGAACAGTCAATAGTCTTTTTTTGGCTTTTACCCTTTCACTGGTTAATAATTGCAAGTTGTGCGTGATTTGCCATACAGTACATATCTAAAATGTCTATTTTCGCTTTCCAAGTCCCCTTAAATCGAAAGGATGGAACAATATAACTATAACGCCACTTGAATTTACTTCTATCACAACTAAGCGAAATGCTATTGTTTTTATAGGGAAAAATGTTTTAAAAGATGTGAAGAACATTGACTATGTTCCAGGAATATATCAACTGTTTGAATACATTTTAATAGATTAAAAAGAAATGCAACATTTAAATGTAAAATAAGCAGTATCTATGCAAACCAGTATGATTCATTCACTGCAAACAAATACATAAGAACTACTGGAGTATTGTAAGGCGTATGAATTATAGTGTGTAGAATTGAGATATTCTTCGATTATTTGATTTAGATTTTTTTTCTTTTGCATGAGCTACACAGCTTATAAACTATCAAAACAAGATATAAAAATATAGAAGTTAAAATAATGGAACATGTTAAGTTTAGCTTTAGAAAAGTGCTATTAAGCCAAAGTGGAAAAAACATTACATGATTTTAAATAGAAAACTGTACCCTTGTGACAGTTATATAAGACAGTGTGGTGCGCAGTGGTATAACCATGAACGCATGAACAGAAGGAAGTGCATTTCAATGTAGTGTTGACTGAAACCTTCACGTTTCTCAGTCTTGTTCCACAAACCCACTTTCATTCAGCTGTTGACTCTGTAAAAAAATAAATAGGTTTGAAAACCACAACAAATCACTTTCATCATGCATTTTGAGGGCATCGGTATCCTTCATTAACTAGTTATGCAAATCAGACCGATTTCCCCCTATTTTTGAAATGCAGGAGTTAATTCTAAACAAACCATGCAAGCGTAAAACACTAGGGGGTCTGAAAGTGAACTTTGTAGGGCAATTACGGTAATTGTGTTTCTAAGCAAGGTAGAAAAATACCAGTCCATTCCAAAATAAGAGTCTAATTACAAATATTTACAACTCACCTGAACTGGAACCTTCCGATTCAGACTCAGACAGGATTTTGAACTGAATGAGACACACTTTCTCTGTGTATGAAAATGCCCTTTTTGTGCAAAAGAAATATGTTTCGAGGGACGCCCACCAACAGTACCCGTGTTTCTCATTCTTAGACACGCAGGCTGAATGTTTCCAGAGGTGAACGGAGTACTCTCCTTTAAGTAACGGGTAAAAGCCCCCCAACACCCACGTGCCTCAGAGACTCTGACCACAGAACTAGGTATAAATGAAAAGTACGCAAATCCATCTCTGAACGGCAGGGAAAAAGCACACCACTGTTCAGTTGAACTGAATTTCTGTGCTGCAGATTACCTGCTGCAGATCTGTGCTGGAGTCCTCACTGTGCTCTGCCTCCGTCTTGGCGACGCGGTCCACAGCAGACAGTATGGAGGAGAACAGGAGCTCCGCCTGTACCTCCAGAGCCTTTGACTGCCTCTCAATCAACCCCAGGGTTTCCTTCAAGACTAGTACACAACAAGGCAGAACAGGCCATTACAGAGACCCTGTGCAGAGCAGACACTGAGCAACAAAAATAAAATCAAATACAACGACAGAGCGGTAGAAACTGAGACTGGCATATCAAAATGAATGGTGACACGTTACTTCACATGCTCAGACTTTCTATCCAATCTTCTGAGCTGTAGTTCTCTTTTGTCCTCGTACCTTTGCGAACACAAGTAACCCTAACCACCGTCAACCGTTATTAATTATTAAACCATGATAGAGAAACCGCTTGCTTAAAGACATCAGACAGCATAAGGACCAGGGTGCTAAAATGCTGGAAGGTAATTCAAATGTACATTCAGGACACGATTCCTCCGAAGGGCTATTTGCTGGTTATGGTCTGCTACTGTGCAACATTTTTCTTTCCTACCCACATTAGAATCTGGACTAATCAGGACACAAGTCAGCCCATAATCGTCTTAATAAGTTAACAGAATCAAGAGTTAAGACTGGGTCTTCTTCCGGGATAGAAAAGGAGCGCTCCAATAGCAGCCCGATGTTGCCATGTGGACGAAGCAGCAGCTGCCCTCTGAAATCTCTCTTCCCCTCACTGTCTCAGTTACCTGGGGAGGTGGAATTCATGCAGCTGAGCAGGACTCCCCCGGCTTTTAAAACAGCCGCAGTTAAGGGCTGCTGGGCATCCACGTCCCTCTGGAATCTCTGAGGAGACAAAGAGGATTTTAGAACAGCAGCTTCCCGGCTGACCACAGGAGTTCCAGAAGAACTGGGAAGTACGACCTTTGTCAGTCATTCTTTGAGGGAAAGTATCTGTCTGAAAGGTAAAAAAAAAAATCAATAATTGATTTAACAACAGAAATGATATACAAATACAAAGCGAAGAGCAAATAACCATAAAGCAGAAAAATGGTTGAAAGGGAAATACGTTTTAACCAGGGTATGTGAACTGTTCACGCCCAACTCTAAATAGTTCATTTCATTTTTAAGCTAAACTCACTGAAAAAGGGGTCTGTTTTAATATGTACCTGAATTTAGGAATGACAGGAGCATTTCAAATACACCTGGGTAGGGGAATTCCAGAGAGAGGGAATTTTAGAGAGCTAAATGAATGACCCCCAGGGTTTAAATGTCTTTACTTTTTCTTGTTCTACAAGGAAAAATAAGTTTTGACTCTGCTGTCTCAATACTCTTGAAGGCTAGTGTACATCAGACTATCCCAGTCCAATATTGAATCCTGAAACCAAGACTTGGCTCCACCTGTGGCTACACAGGTACTGTCATTTAGAGTTACTTGATTTAAGGCTGTTGGATTCAGGGCTTAGAGGTAGAACAATGTTAAAACAATGTTAAGTGTTAAAACAACAGATTAAAACAACAGACTAAATGCTTGGAGTGTAGAGTCAGAGGAAGGTTTGAATTTGTTAAGGTTCTGGTTTCATGAGTTCGTTGGTTTTTAGCATGAGAAAGGCAAAATAATAATGCTTTGACAAACATTATGTAAATATGAGAGAAAAAACAAAGACTTAAAATAAAGAATGAAAGTGAAATAAGAAATTAGGTATTCTTTTCAAACCAAGCTTTCTTTTTTTATCCGACACTTCTGTGACCCAGGGGGCTGCGGGTATCCTTACTTTATAGTCTGCGAGAGAGGTTTTGATGCTTTCAATGTCAGCTGCGGGTGGGTTCCAGCTGTCCACTTTTTCTACCACTTTGTACAGCCACTGAATTAGCTCTTCCAGGTTCATACAAAACATCTGGGCCGAAAAGAAATGCAAAAGACATTTGACTCACAGATAACCGCCTTACACAGCGTTACTCCAGCCAAAGTCCGCAGGAATAATTCCAGGTCTGTTCAACATAGAAATCTACTGAGCATCACAGCAAGAAAGCAGTGAAAACCATGTTCTATGACGATACAGTGTTACGTTACAATTTTTTACATTTGTCAACTTGAAATAAGTATACTACCTGAACATGACGCACAAGAGACTCCTTTGCCTCTGTCTGGCCTCGGTCCGCTTGCTCGGTCTTCTGAAACTCCGAGAGAGGCAATCCCCCCAGCTGAGTCACGAACATGGCAGCTCTTCTCAGGCTACGCTTTGTGACGTCGCTCCCCAATCTATGCAGACCAGTTCCCAACTCCTGACCTTCCCGAGAGCCTCTGGCGCTGCAGGGGAAATCCGAGGCAGACGGCTCCTCTGCTGCAGATCCCTCCTTCACCTTGGTCTCCAGCAGAGCTGTTGAGGATTTAATGGAAAACGTTTCCCTTCCCAGTGAGGAGGGGGACTCCCAGCGTGCATCAACAGGCTTGTTCACCTGTATGGAAATGGTCTGTAACTGCTGAGATAAAACCTCCAGCTCCTTCAGTCTGAAAGGCAGAGGGCAGAATTCGTCGTCACTATCCCATCCTTTGTCAGGAGGAAGGATGTGTGAGGTAGGGATATAAGTGGGCTGCACTTCAGGGGATGAAAAGATGCCATGCCTTGCATGCCTCGCCTTGTAATCCACATTCTTGCTACTATGCATTTCCTGCCAAGCAGAACTGGAGTAGGAGTTTTCCAAAGAGAGGTCTACCTGGTCCATTGAAGAATACCAGCTGCTGGACATTTTAAAATCAGCTTTGGAAGAGGAGAGTTCCTTCCGACACGGACTTGCCGGCTTTAAGGCTTTGCTTGAGAAGGTTCGCTCCCTGCCACTACCCACAGATTCTCGGACTGAGAATCGATGGCCAAGGAGCTCCGAATTCGTTGACGTTTCTGCATTGTCAGCCGGGCTAGAGAAATGGTCAAGCTCAATCCCGGAGTCTCGCATCAATGGATCAGACGCAAACAGCCGACAGTCTGACGCGTCCCGGGAAACCAGATGTTTGGGTTTCAGAGGGTAGGTATAATCGAGCAGGTTCTGGTACTCCTCATTGGGGTCCCAGCCGGGTGAATCCCTGTTGGGAGACGGGGGTAGTGAGCTGGGAATTGCACATGCCCAGTAGTCCGCCTGATACGGCGACATCTCGCGAAAGGCCAGGGCCCCCCTGCGTGGTAAGGGTAAACTGGAGGCGCTGAGAGCCTGGCAGACCTGAGGCCCGCGTCTCCTCGAGAGTCGCGAGGAGGGAATGTGAGTGTCCAGAGAAGAAGCCCTCGGAGCTGCAGCCCCTCTCGAGCTCCCCTTCGTTCTGAGACTGCGGACATCCAGAGGGGGGCTGGAGGCGCAGCGTCTGTGAGGCCTGGAGAGAGAACCTTCCTGGTAGAAGCTTGTTTCCTCGTGAGGAGGCCGCCACTCCTTCAGGCACAGTGCGCTCAAAGGTGCCGTCACGTCTTCAGACTGAGAATCGGTCGAACAGTCTTGATCCGAAAGCACAGCCACAATGTCTTCAAATTCTTCCGCCGGCGACTTCAAGCGAAATTCAAAAGTCTGACGTGTGCACTGGGCACGTTCGTCTTCAGCTTGCCCCTCCTTAAAAACAAAAAACATTGCATTTCCCCCCCCCCGATTTTTCCATTTCTCTATTTTTTCATGTTCTAAAACATAATATGTTTTTTCTTGCCTACAATACTTGGCAAACGCTGTATTCCACTGAAACAAAAACTAGAACTTGTCATTGCTCATTGACGCATGTAATTGATCTGCTTGGTTGTTCAGCCTTTTTTCTGCACTCACTCCATGGGATTCAAAACTACCCTAATTGAAGTATATTATTTCAACCAGTTCCGGCAAACAGAATTGTATGCAGGCTCTCCTAACCTTACTATTTACAACTGCTTTTTCTTTTTTTTGGACTAAAACTCTTAATACATGATGAATTTATGATAACCAGATCACAGGTGAGAATGACAGTGCATCAGCCACTCCTTTAGTGAGCTTTTCAGAACCTTAAAGAGAAGAGTTTCTGAAACTCACGAACAGCAATTACAACCCCATAGAACAGCTGAAAGAATACTTAAAAACAATTGTAACAGAAATATTATGTTCTTTCACCTGCGATTATTCAATCTGACTGGGGTGGAGCTACACTCCTATTGGAAATAGATCATCATGTTAATTTATTGCATTTGTTCTGTGTAATATCTTACCTGTTCCAAGTGGCTTTGAAAGAGCTTTCCATTTGCATGAGATGTTGTCTTTGTATATGCAGCAGAAGTGTCAAACAATGGCTTTCTCATTGCATAGTTGGCCTTCCCTGTGGAATACCTGCAGGATGGTATTATTGCACTGCTCTTCTTCTGGCTGGTCTTCTCTGAAACTCTCCTGCGCAAGTCTAGAGGCAGCCCCGGCCCGTTTCTGCTGCTTGCGATGCGAGGAACCGTGTCAGCTGTGGTCCTGTGTGGACGTGCGTTGTAAACTAGCTTTGGAATCGCCTTCTCCAATCTCCCATAGCTCTTCGGTTCCATCGGATATCTCCCAGCCTCTAGAGCCATGGATCCACACTGCTCTCCAGTGCCATGCCACAGGTCACTGACAAGACACATGGAGCCGTTAGGGATTTGTCCCATCGAGAAAAAAAAAGATACAATTGCACTTTTGTTTAGAATCCTTAGACTACACTGTCAGGATTGGCAATTGCCAAATGTAACTCACCCCAGCACAACAGTACATAAATCTTACAATGCTGTATCACTGCTCTACTTTATTGCACTTTAAAAGACATTCCTGAAATGTTTTCTGTACACACTGCTGAAGTGTTTGCTCTAGAATAAAAAGACAATTAACCCAGATCTAATACACTCCAGGGGCTCATCCAAGGCAAAAAAAAAAAATCACTCTCATAGTGCCATATGCTTTACATACTGAAATCCAGAAAACAGAAATACATAAACAGTTACCATGGCCAAACAATTCTGTACTTAAAAGATCTTAATAGCCTATAAGTGATTAACACTTAGGCAGTACTAAATAGTAATTCTGAGTTTCATTATGTGATAAAAAGGGGTTTTAAGTAGACAAAAAATACAGAAGTAATAATATAAAAATAATTAGTTCTGATAATAGAGAATCTGTTCAAAACAACTGAAGAATTTTTAGATTTACAGACAACTTTGAAAAATGGCTGACATTTAAGTATCTCATGGTCTTTTCCTTTTTTATAGAACTGTGAATATTTGCACTCGTCACCCATGGATTTTACCTCTTTTTAATCAGCTTGCCCTCCAAGATCCTGTATTTTTATGTCACTCAATAACCTTGTAATGTTTAAGCTGCACATTAACTATGTATACCACCCTGTTTGAAAAAAAAATCATTCTATAAAGTCATTAACAGAGCAAGTTTGGGCTTGCCCATGTCCCAAGAATAATGCTGGCATTTGTTGACTCTCACAATGTGCTTCACAGCCCACAATCAAGAGGCCCATTCTTCATTCAACCATCCTGCTAGAAGGGTAATCAAATACTGCTGGCCTACAGTTATAGAATGTGTGGAATCTGGCATGTTCTGGAACTGCTTTTTTGGTTTAGTAGTACATGTTGCTGGATTTCATACAGCATGAACTGCCAAACGATAAAAAAATTAACTGAATCCCAAGATAAAACAATGAACTGAATATACTATTGAGTTTCTTTTTTTTTTTTTCAAATTTAGTCTGGTAAAGCTCCTTTTCTGTGTAATATGTGCTTCTAGTTTGAGTTATTGTATAAAACGATATCTTGTAACAATCTCAAGCTGGTTAGTCCTCACCGCTAAAAACTGCTCTTTTAATATGCTTTTCATTAATGAAGTGAGACTCTTATGATAAAAGGGTCTGCTCAATTACTATTGATCATTTGGGCTGCAGAGGGACCTCTCATCAAACGAGATTCTGACTAATATTATTTTAATACCATAAAAATTGATTTCACAATATACTTTGCATTACGAGTTCCTATTTAGTCAAAACCACACTCCAAATTGAAAGTCAAGAATTTAAACTTGTCATGCTTTTGAATAATATGCCAGCAAAGGTTTGACACTGCACACAGAACAATACTAATTGCTTTATTATTTCTTTTTTCTAATAAATGAATTGATATTCTAGTTATATATTCACTTAGATGTTCTAAATTTACAAGGGTCAGAATCATTTTAAAGCAATTAGACATCAATTTTCAAAATATGAAATAAGACTAGCTATTTACATTCTTTAATCCAGATCACTGTCATTGAGATTCTGCCAGCGATACCTGAATTGTAAATGCAACCATAATTTAACATTTTCAATTAGACCATTTCGTTTTTAATTAGCTTGAGATGCAGAATATTGTATGCATGGTAGAGACCTGTCTTATGCAGATTTTATTTCTTTTTCTACTTCAGACAAGTACAGCACATCAGGCTTGTGAACCTTCAGACTTACTGTACTCAAGGAAAACAAAGTGGAGAATGAATGGCAATAAAGACACAAAAAGCAGGTATGCAGCCAGGTTTTGTTTTCATCCAATTTCTAGTGCCACCTTCTGCAGATGTGATGTACAAGGGTCTTGTATGAAAACGATCAGTGTACAGGCTGGACAACATTGCAATGCATATAATGCATGCTGAAAAAGGTAACTTGAAACACACTAAAACAACGGTCATAAACTTTGGTTCTGTCAAAAATAAATAAATTTGCTTTTTTTGTATTTTGAATTTAGAAATGTGAATTTTTAGATTAAAGGGGTGGTTTTGTCATGACTGCATGTTATCTCAATATACACACGTAGAAGATTACTTTGCTTGTGCTTTCTAAAACCTACGAGCAGCACTCCTAATTCATCATGCTAACCATCTTCTGTTTCCATGGCAACTTTCACAAGTCTGAGGCATAAGGCATAACAATGAGGAGGAGACGTTAGGGCCCTAGACTCATTACTGCAAGGCTGTGGGTTCAAATCCATAAGATTGCATTACTGGCCCCACCTTGAACAACGTAATTCACTCAGACTGTGTTGGTAACAATGCCCAGCTGCATAAATTGCTACAAATGTACACTGCTTCTGATAAAAGCATCAGCAAATAAATAAGAATCACACTGTGATGTGAGAGCCCAGTTCCAGACACCTGGTCAGAAATGAGTTGAAAGTTGAAGAAGGTTACAAACACTATTTACAGTACACTCAAGCTTTAATATCTCATTTACTTCCTGCATTAAGTTTACAAACTTTCACTGTCTTCATTCACCTCTTCCTGCTCTTAATCCTTCACCTGATGATACAACAAAAGATAGACTGCAATACCTAGCAACTTCAACTTGTTCTGCTTGGACCCATTCAAGCAATCTGATACTTGTGACAGTTCAACAATTTCTCCACACCATCAGGTAGTTATTAGTTTCCTAATAAGTTACTGTATTGTATGTCGCAAATGCTAGAGGCTTCAGAATATAAAAAGTAACCATAGGAACATTTGACAGACACTGTGCATCCCTTTGTAAATATGAGTAAGAACGTCTTCTGTCTTAATGTTTGGGATGCCTTAATACATGACAGAGGGTTTATTGACTCTTGTAATGTTTTTACTGACACTACTGCGATGTTCATGTGCTTATGACTGCGTAAACATTTAACAGAAAAAAGAGATAAACCTTATGTTGATGCCATACTGCAATAATTGACATGTTTACACATCAGAGAGACAGAGAATTATCGGGAAGAGGGGGAAGGTTTTGTGAGTTTCTAAAAATGGTGAGTGCACTGTAGACGTTGTGCCCTTTGGATGAGACGCCAAAATCCAGACACCTTCATCACTAAAGATCCCAAAGTATTGTTCATATGGGTATTGGCTATTTAGCCTGCCTAAAATTCTAATTGCCCACCTCTCTGCCTGATCTCCAATATGGTGGGGCTGCTGCTTGTTGCCCAGACAGATGAATTAGGTCCCTGTCTATATGCAATGCTCTTTCACATCCTTTGGAGTCAGCAGTGCTATATGAAAAGAAGGAACTTTAATACCTGCCTTACTCTCAGTCTCAGGAGACTCTGAATGAAATATCTGTATTGTCTAGAAAGCACCAGTGAGCATTAAGGAATTATCTTG